GTGCCAGAAACCAGCACCACCTCCGTGCCAGCAACCAGCACCACCTCCGTGCCGGAAACCAGCACCACCTCAGCTCCCATAACCACCACAACCCCTGTTCCTGCACCTCAGACGACCCACCCCACACCGGGGACCACCAGCTGCCAGCCACAGTGCACGTGGACCAAGTGGTTTGACGTGGACTTCCCGCATCCGGGGCCCCACGGAGGAGACCTGGAAACCTACAGCAACATCATCCACAGTGGAGAGAAGATCTGCCGCCGGCCCGAGTACATCACCCACCTGGAGTGCCGAGCCGAGAGCCACCCCGAGGTCAGCATCGACCGGCTGGGCCAGGTGGTGCAGTGCAGCCCCGACGTGGGCCTGGTGTGCCACAACCGAGACCAGACGGGCAGGTTCAAGATGTGCCTCAACTACGAGGTCCGCGTGCTGTGCTGTGAGCCCCAACCGGGCTGCCCTGTGACTTCCGTGACCCCTTATGTGACTTCTACCAAGTCCCTGCCCACCACAGAGCCCTCCTCCGTGGTGCCTACGGTGACCGCCCTCAGCTCGGCAGCACCGTCAGTCCCGACGTGCTACTGCAGCGTGTCCGACAGGCTCTACCCCGCAGGTAGGTGACGGCCATCTGGCTGTGGTGCGTGCTGCCCCGTCACGGGTCCCCCTTCCTCACACAGCCACCGTGTGACCCACAAACAGGCGCTGTGATCACAGCTTCACCCGGGCCGCTTTCGAGCCTTTATCCATGGACATCTGGTCGGAAGGCCGCTGACCAGATCAGCCCTGGGGTGGACCACGTGGGCGGTCGTCCCCGCCCTGGCCTCCCCGGCGCCGCTGACGGCCGTCCCTTGTCTGCAGGGTCCATCATATACCAGGAGGCGGACCTCGCCGGCCACTGCTACTATGCCGTGTGCAGCCTGGACTGCCACGTGGTGCGGCAGACGGACCACGCCTGTCCCACCAGCACGCCACCTCCTGCCCCGGCGACCCTCCCACCTGGCTCTTCCACTTCGGCCCCTGTGCCTGTCACTACGCCGGGCTGCCCCAATGCTGTCCCCCCAAGAACGGTAACCTCCCCTTCCCACCTTTCTTGGGGGCTCTGGGCTGGTGTGGGACCCCAGCCCCCTTCCAATTAGGCCCTGGCTTCAGTGGGTGATGACCGGGCTTTGCAGCTGAGCGCGGGGCCGTGCCCACCAGGTGGCAGGGAGAAGGGGGCTGGAGCGGGTGGCTGGTGCTCTGGGCAGGGCCCGACAGCGAGGGAGGGTGTGTGGGGTCAGGGCAGAGGACCAGGAGTGGAGCCTGGAGAACCCACGTGTGGGGAACAGGGTAGAAATGGAAAGAGAGGGAGGCGGCAACCCTCACACCCTCTTATCGGGGACCCTCCTGGCCAGCCCGGCAGTCGGCAGGCACTCAGTGGGATGGGGCGGGAGGCCTGGCCGGTGCTGGACCCGACAGCACGGTCCCCACCCGTTCCCTGGGCGTGGAGGGGCGGCTGGGCAGGCGCCTGCAGCTGTATTTGCTCCCGCAGAGAGGAGAGACCTGGCCCATGCCTAACTGCTCCCAGGCCACCTGCGAGGGCAACAACGTCATC